TGTTCAAACATTCTGTTTGACCGACTCAGCACTTTCCTTTAGTCAAGGTCTTATTTGCAATAACACTAAAGTGCTAATGCTCACCGCGAATAGCCTGAAGACAAGCTCCACGGAGCAACCTTCTCAAGTGTGTTTCACAGCTTCTTCCCACTGTGGTAAGCTGTGTGAACCCTACGGGGCGCCGTTACCGAGAGAACCTTCTCACTCCTCACCGTGGGAGAAATTTCTCTGACTTTTTCTGAAGTTCTACCGACTGACTTTTCCTGTTTGAAATCAGCTTACTTGAATCGTCTCACCTCGTACACGTGAATTTCACTGCAGCGTTCACTGAAATACTTACTGAATCTCACTGCAGAGTTCCACTGAATCATGTTTCACCCGGGAGATGTCTTTACCACTTTTTCAAGTTCCAGTTTCAATTTTTTTTGACAAAGCGCCGATTCGGCTTCTCGGACAGTGCCTACGGGAAACTGCCGTTCGCTCGCAAGAGCATCCATGGACCTTGAGTCCGTTTACCCTACCCTGCACCCCCTGCACCTTTGCTTGTCTTTCCTTGCCTTTTCGCTTGTCTTGTTCCTTCCTTCAGGCTTTTTAGGCATGATCCAGGCTCGTTTGGTCAACGCACGCCCTGCCCCCCCCCCGCACCCCCTCCACCTTTCTGTCTTGTTCTTTTCTTCAGGCTGGTTAGGTGGCAACCAGGCTCGTTTAGTCAATGCACGCCCGAACACCCCTTCACCCCCTGGCGGAGAAAAAGAAAAAAGAAAAAGGAAAAAAGAACAAGAAAAAAGACAAGGACCAATGACTGAGTCAGCAAAACGAAGCACAGTTAGCGCTGCAGCATTGCAGCCATTCAAAAAAGACAGTTTGCGTTGAGTTATGTCTTGAATAGTACTAGATGCGCCGTCTCGGCTTCTTGTGTGTGTTAACCCCTGCTTCGAAAGGAACTAGCCTATCTATCTATTTCTCGTGTACTCTATTTCGCTGAGTTGCACTTTGTACAACAGCAGCAGGGGGGCGTGAATCTCACTCCATCCACTGCCCAACGAAGACGGTGGTCTGAGATTGTGAAATGACCCCGGGACGCCGGAGTCACGTACCTGCCGAATTGTTTAAATCGATTTCTCAACGATTTGTTCAAACATTCTGGTCGACCGACTCAGCACTTTCCTTTAGTCAAGGTCTAATTTACAGTAACACTAAAGTGCTAATGCTCACCGCGATGTTCAAACATTCTGTTTGACCGACTCAGCACTTTCCTTTAGTCAAGGTCTTATTTGCAATAACACTAAAGTGCTAATGCTCACCGCGAATAGCCTGAAGACAAGCTCCACGGAGCAACCTTCTCAAGTGTGTGTGTGTGTGTGTGTGTGCGGTCCAGTATTGTCTTGGAAAAATGTTGTTACCGCCATCTGCGGCCTGTCTGCATATCCTTGAGACTTTAGATGTTCAAGTCAAAACCTATCAGCCTATCACCTAACTTGCTTCTTGGCATTTGTCGGGCGGGAGAATGCGAACCTGGCAACAAAAGGAACCACCGGACCTGTGACCAAATGGCAAATGAGCTCGTCAAAACTCCAAAAGGAAACTAAGGAAACCAAGGAAACCAATGCAAAACCTTTATAACTTACAACTGAAATAACTTTGAAATACCTCAATCACAAGGGACAACCAAGTGCCCACCACAAAGCCCAGGAAACAACGATGAACGCATCGTTGTCACGCGTCGCGGATGTTGCACATCGCATTCCGTCACGCGGCTGACATCAATAGCTCCTCCAGACTCCAAAGCAACAGTGGTGTGCCCATCCTCTGTGACAGGAGTTCCCGCTGCATGAACGACCTGTCCAGGCCTGACCTGGGTGCACTAGGCAAAAAGTACTTCATTAAAGTCTGAAGCAATTCAAATGTTAAGAAACTCTGATGCGATGCAATGTTTCTTGCAGATTCTCGCGGTGAGTTGGTTTCCAGCCCCAAGACAGCTGACTTTCCAAGCATTCATAGCATATGTTGATGTGAAATCTGGACATGCAGTCGCTAGATGTTCCCAAAACGTGCAAAGGCCGAGGCCTCTGAGACTTCTTGCCCCCAAACTACGCCATGCTGGTCGGTGTTATAGACGGGACCAGCTCGTACAACCTACCGGCTGTGGAAGCGAAGCGCCAACCATCACATGTCCGCAGAAACGGTCTCAGGCCACTGTCCTATTCTGTTGTCTTCCTATTCATTACCAAAAAATGAGAACACTGGTCTCAGCAGGAGTGGCTCATTTGGGAAACAACTACATGAAGCACATGCATCAAGCCAGAGCATGACCCAACAAAAATGTCCAATGCCTTGTATCACCTAAGGATGGGACTATCCCTGCACAAAGCATCCATATGCTGATGAAGACTTGTTTCACTACTTAGTGACAATATGTGTGTGTCTCTGATGCATTGCCACTGCAAAGTACTGGGGTTTTGGCACTGATACCTAACAAAGTTTGTTTCGATTAGGCCAGGATAGGCCAGAAAACATGTCTCTACCCCCTTGTTCAGTTCAGCGGGCAAGCCGATCCGAGGTTCAAAGCTCTGCAGCGTTCTCTGAATTGTTGAGGTCGTTAGCACAAGTGGGAACCCGAAAAATCACGACAAATGGACACTGTCGGACTAGTTGCAAGTGCACGCCCAGAAAAGGCCGTGGTTGAGTACGTGAGAAGGTGAGTAACTGAATCGGTTCTAGAGTGCGTGTTGCGAACTGGCATCCATTGGAGATGTGCTTGGATGATTTACTGTGAAACTTGGTCCAACTTGGTCCTAAGGCGCGGCAAATGCAAGTTATATCATAGGCAATGTTGAATGTTTAGATTTTTTAGGTTTGAGGTTACTCGGAGAGCTAGACCCACCAGCACTTGGCCACTTGGGGGTGGTACCACTGCAAAGAAATTGACTCTATTGAAAATGAGGTTATGATCCCTACTATTGGTTTGGCACCTCCCGTCATTTCCGCAGATATGGCTCCCCCATGCCTGCAAAGGCGTGCCTTGCATCAATGAAGCTTGTGAAAAAGCATGGTTCTCAAGATGTCTCAGATATGTGTCCATCATCCCAACCTGAATCTCTGGGATTCATGTTCCCTCAAAAACGTCTGGCATGGGGCTCAGAACATAGTAGGTGCAACAAGGTGGAAACCACGAAAAGCACTAAGGTGACGGGGCAGAGGAAGTTTACGGAACTTTTATGAACTTCTAACAAAACTGTTCATTCAAAAACAGGTCTGTCACTGTCCCTACAGGATAACGACCTCCACCCTTGGAACACTAAAGAACATCTCTGCCAGCTGGCCGGGTTGAATCGCAACTGCATTGTAGTCAGAAGCCAGGTCATCCTCCTGCTGGCCCTTGGTTGGAGGTGAACTGGTGCAAGGCCGCAGAAAACACTTCTTCGACCCCTTTCTCCCACAGACAGGGACAATTTCCAAGTGAAAAGGAAACACCGCCGCACTAAGTCTTGTGCCAGCGTTTCTGCTCTGAAACGTGCTGCATCTTGGGGATCTGCGAGCTTCAAGTTGATCATTGGAACCGCTCCTCCTCGATCTAAGAGGATGAACTTGTGGCCCTGGGCATTTTGCACGGTTGGCCCTGCATCCACCAAATGCCCTGCAAACACCTCGGATGAAGCTCAGAATTTAATGCGTTGCACTTCACATGCACTCATATCATTCATTTCGCAAGCCATTGGCCTCCCCAATCATGAGCTTGATCGGCTGCCCATTGTCATCCTCAACAAATGGATGCCACCCATTGACTAGCAGAGACTGGTGAAGACTGGTGAGGTGATCCGAAACTGTGATCGCGGCGAGGTCGAAGACGGGTGAGTTTCGTATCACTTCCATGATGGTACCTGCGCACATGCAGCGCTCTAGCTCGTGTTGAGAAAGACTGGAGAAACTAGTTGATACACTCTACGGCTTATGCAAGTTGAAATGGCACATGTTTTTCAACAAAGCAAGTACTCTGTCTGATCAAAAGAAAACAACAGAGGGAGACAGGACACACAAGGAGAATGCATGCGTTTGTGTGTTTGTGTGCATCGCAAATTTAATTTGTCTGGCTGTTCTTGGTGAGGCTGCACAAAAGCTTCCCATGCTCACCTGAACTTTGGAAGTTTGGAAGCAGTGGTCTGATTTCATATTCAGTGGACCTCAGCCATAGTTGCAAGCACATGTGAGCAATGGCAAGCTCGCGGCTCTTTTGATTCTACCTGTTTTCCTCCACCTCAGTGAAAATGAAAAAAGGTGCTGACAGGTGGATGAGTTCCTTTCTCTTTGTCAAAACTCAAACTTGTGGGGTCGGTAAGGTCAGTATGAGGCTCCCTCCTTTTGATGAGAGGCTTAAGTGAACATCAAGGAATTACAAGATTCATGCCCTCTAGTAGGTTTCAATCGGACTTTCAAAAGAACATAACGTGGCCCTGAGTCTGGATCTTTAGCATATATCCAAATCGAAACCGTATCGAAGCAATCCCAGCCTAATCGATGCTAAATTGTTAGGGAGCCAACAACGAAGGAGACAATTATGGCTAGGAGTTTATGTGTGTCCCAAAGTTTCTGCGTAGTAAAGTACAACGTAGGTGCGCCCATGGTTCCAATTCTGCGTTGTACAAGGGTCAACGCATACGGCCCTCACGTAACACATCGTTTCTGCACAGAACAAACCGAACACTGCTTGGCCAAGCAACGGAAGGAGCCTCAGATGCTTCGCCCAAACACGTGAGACGCGAAACAAATCAAATCCAACAAGACGACTTATGATCAACTGAATACTTCGTGCTGAGTCGGTTGCATGTAAACTATGCTCAGAAAGATGACACAGCCAATCCCTACCTGGTCTCAGGATAGATCTGAATTACACTTGGAAAATACAAACTGTCGATGAAATTTGATAGAGCGATGAGATGCTTGGATGCATGTTGATCTTGGTTCAAAAATAGTTGCCTTCTGGCACAAGGTCAGCCGTCGCACGTAGAAGAGGACCTTTGCCTTCAGGTCCTGCTGCATCTGCTATACTCCACAACACAAGCAAACCTGAGTGCAACTCTGCTATTTTCAACATGTCCAACATCTGCCCGGATGATCTTTCGACACACACCCAACCATATCACGAGGCAAGTACTGCAAACAGCGCGTCTGATTGATCGGGGCTCAAGGGGTCAGCAGGCAATCGTGTGAGTGAAGATATACACAGCAATACAATATATATATATATTACAATAGTAATAAGAATAAGAATAACAATAACCGTAATTAATAGTAATAATAGTAGTAATAATAATAGCAATAACAATAATAGTAATATCAATAATAATAGTACTAATAATATTATATATATAATTCTGTATATGTTTATATATATATATATTTGCACATCAGTATATTGAAATTGCACCCTGTTTGTTGCGTGTCCAATGCCAACACACCCTAGTCCTCAGGTCCACGTCGATCCTCCTCAGTTGCAGCAGGTGTCTGGGATATGGTCTGGGTGCCTGAAGAATATCTAGAATAACATGTACTGGCATGAATGATATGCAGCCTCGAGCGCACTTGGAACAGGGGAACATATACTTATAGGTTGCTTACATCCTTTGTACACTAGCTCGTGTCTTCATTTGCGCGCGTGCAAGCAAAAGGCAAGAAATGCAATCTCTTGCTACTCGGTCGAAAACTGATTCTTTCAAAACCCATAGAGGGGGAGAGAGAGCGAGAGAGAGAGAGAGAGAATATGTAGCTGTAATTCACGGTTGATAAAATCAAAAGTGCTGGCCCTTTGGCCTCTTTCAAACCCGAGCCTCATCTGGCGGAAACCACTGAACATCTCGGGCCTGCAAAGCTCTGCCAGTCATGGTCTGTACTTGGCTTCTGCATGAGAACACACCGTATTCGATCTCCGAATCGCGGATTTCTCAAAATGCCTGAGGATTTCTCGAACGAGTGCTAAGCTCGAGGTCATCGGACACTTTCCCATACCTGGCTGGGTTGGAAGAGTTGCCGTTCCCATGAGGTGCCGTTCCAGTTCCACATGACTACTATTAACCAGGACGCTACTAGTAGCTCCTGGTATTGCTAGGAACAAGAAGCTACTAGTAACAAGGGCATTACTACTAGTGACAAGGATGCGACTAGTCATGTGGAATCCACATGTTCTTTCCACGAAACACGGCAGGTGCCTGGTGGACGCCATCACTGCGACATGATGTCACGACCCAGTCACAAGTCTACCCGTCTGAGGGTTACCAGCACAGTCCTGGTACATTCTTGATTCATTCATGTTGCAGGACGTGAGGTGTAATGCACTTTTCTTTTCGAGGTGTGCACCTGAGCACATTTGGGCTTCGATCTGAGAGCCAAGAGCTGCCTGCAGCATGGACCTTGAAATAGGACAATAGAGGGACCACTAGGACCACGAATATCTAAGTAAGCATGTGGGAAGTCAGTCTTGGCGTGACTATGCTCTCTCGAGCCCAGCCTACAAACGAACACTGCCTAGCAGCTTTATGAACCCCTGAAGCTATTCGGCAATCGCATGCCTCGCAGCATGCAGCATGGTGTTGCTTGGTTTGAGATCCGCGGACTGAGATCCATGACGGGATCACAGCAATGCCCTGCTGTATTGCCCAGCGGAGGAGAACCTCACCAAACCACTTCTGAAGCGATCCAGCCAAAGAGACACCGCCTAGGGGCCTCGGGCCCGCAGGTCACCCCACCTGCGCAGGCGTCCGGCCAACACGCTTGGCGACCTTGACCACGGCTGGTGACCGCAAGGTGGCACCACCCAGCAATGAACTACCCAAAGATCCGTAGGCCTGGCCAAATGTCGAACGTCTTGATTCGTCACATGGCCCTGAGCGCCCTAGCTGTTAGCTCCTTCGCCATGGACATTCGCACTTTGACCTTTGGACCAACACCGTTTGGTGCTCCAGGTTTTCCAGTTCAAATGGCCAAGGCCGCAATGAGCTGGATGTGCTTCTCGCGACAGAACCTGGAGTCGTGGTGCATCAAGGAGTCCAAGCCGTGTCCCCACCAGTGAATGCAAAACAAGGTAAGTATTGACTGTTAGGAGCAATCGCTCATGGACCTCGGGATTTTTGAGTCATGCGGACTGGCCACGGATCAGCTGCATGTTTCTGCCAAGACGATTCAACCCATCACACCAACGATCTGGTTGGTCAGCTGAGGCACTTTTGCAAACGAAGCTGGGGCCACCATGGATGCATCTCCACCTGGAAGCGCCGAACGGCCCTGTTTCTCCGCACCCAGGAGACCAAGTGAGACCCAGTGAGTTCAAGTCTTGCTAGCGCAAAGTCCAGCCTGCCCAAACGCAAGGGCAAAGTTCACACCCCAAAAAGGAGAAGTGGTGCCTTAGGTGCTAAGATGTGCTAGAGACTCTTGGAACCTCTTGGATACTCTTGAGAGCTCCGCCATCTCCCGTCTACTCACCCGGATTCGGCCCCGAAAAACGGGTCCCGACGGGTCCACCTGGTTCACAGCGATTGGCAAGGAGGGGCCATCGGCCAGGAGCTCGGTCAAATGCCGCACCCCAAAGTTGGAAACGCCCAGCGCACGGACCTGCAGATGCCGCACGCACTTGATGGCACTTGCAAATAGCACCCTATACAGTACTACTTACAGTACTTATATAATTCTGTTCGGGTGAAGTACTACTAAAGGGTGGCCGGGCCTTTCCCTCGTTTTGCGCGCGCTCCATGCCGCGCCAGGCTTGTGCTCGACAACTGCGCCAACCAGCAGCAGCGCATCGGGGCAACGGCGCCTGAGCCAGTATATACCAGAAATGATGTTCCTAGTAGCTTCTTGCTCCTAGTAGAAAGGCCAGGAGCCCCTAGTAGCGTTCTTGTTCCTAGTTAGTAGCGATGCCAGGAGCCCCTAGTAGCGTCCTTGCTCCTAGTAGTGAAAAGAAGTATTAGAGACAACAGAATTGTGAGCATCCTTGTGTCTTGTGATCTGACGGAAACAACATTGATTTACAGTAAAGCAAAAGAATCTGCCAGCACAAATGCTCGCAAACACCACATTCGGAATTTCCAGCATGCCTTCTTGTCGAAGTTGGCTGGCCAGTGGAGCAGTACCTTTGACAACTCGCTTGATTTAAACATTGGCTTTTGTTGCCAAGAATGACTTCCTGTCCTGCTACAATCTTCGGCGCACCAAATCCAGGTGCGTGCCAAGTTCATCCACTGCTCTCTGGACTGCGGTATAAGTCTCCTCTGCACCTCAGCCCAAAACTGGCCAAAAAGGCCCTGCGTAAGACCACTGAGGTCTGGGACCCATTTCAGTTGGTGGAATCTTGGAAATGAGGAACACCTTTGAGGACAAGTGACAAGCTTTGATCAAGAAAGACAAAAACTGTCATCAAGGTCAGAAAAGAAACGAAACGCCTCCTCGCGTGGCACAGTACCAGCGGCCAGAGCTTCCCCAATGTCCCGGTGGTTTTCATAGAGCAGCGCAGTGTCAATCTTGGACGTGTCAAATTAGTGGTCCATTGATTGGCATTGGTTTAAGTCATTATGATATATTATGATGTTTAATTACTGTTCTAAAGATGCTTCAAGAAGCGTTCTAGTGATGGTAAGGAGTTTAAGTCCATAGTACCGACAGATCTTGTTGGGAAGAGCAGAATTGGGAATGCTGCATGCACAATCTTCATTCGGTGCTTGAGATTCAGGCCATCCTCCCACCCAGCTGGAAGAAGGATCTTAGGGAATTCTTGACCTGAGAAGCTCTTCCAAGAGAATGTTGAACACGTCGAGTATCCCCATACAATTTCAACACTTGCGGACATTGAGCTGGCAAATTGCCAAGCTGCTCTGCCAAGCCCTTATCTCACTGAGATATCAGCCTTCTCACCCTGAAAGCCATTGGTGCCAAAGCCTCTCAACGGCATGCGCACAGGATACCTGAAGCATGTAGCGAAAGCGGTGCGCAAAAGAGACGGCTGAAGAACATCTATGGCGCACCCCCGCAGCTGCACAGAAGGTCCACCTGCAACCTCCTCGCGAACTCCCAAATGCGAGGCTGTGCAGTCGCCCGCAGGACCCTTGACATCCCTTGGTGTGCTTGGCCTTCCAACGAGAACATACTCTGTTCTGCTGCTCCCATGCTTACCATATTTGACCGACATTGAGGTCCTTATCCACTTCTTCTTTCTGTATATTGGAGAGAATGGAGCGCGCACACAGCTCGCCCGCCAATCTTGCAGGTGCATCCTGCAAAGGGGGATGGCTGCCCTAGGACAGGCCAAGGCTTACAGTATGCCATGGTTTCAAATCTTCACTCTGCCCCAAAGACTAGTGCATAGTGGATAGGAATCGAAGGGTCAGAGCAATTAGTTCATCCGCTCCAAAACATGCTGGAAGCACCGAATGCCCACTTGGGGACTCTGGAAAAACGGATGTGTCTGCAACCTCGGCAGTCCAAGAAACGAGAGCAGCGCCCGAAAAGGAATCTGTCTTCGATCTGCAATCACAGCCCTTGTCCAACCCCTCTTCTGTCCCCGTCCAAGGTCCCTGGCTCGAAGGTTTCGGGTGCCGAGAACCCGCAACCTGAACATGTGTTTTTGAGCGTCCATGGCTCAAACAAGGCATTGTCAATCTAAATGATATATGGAATGGACGTGTGGAAAGAATTGCAAAGGGCCGTAAAGAGGCATTCGGCAGCATTGGAATGTAAACATGCTATCATTAGATGGATGAATCATGGATCTGTCCATTACCGAAGCGCACAGCTGCGTAGCGATAAATCTGGGAGACGGCACTCCTGGGGTTCTTGCTCTGAGTCTACCACGCCAGGCTCCCCAGCTCGTTCTATACGAGCAGTCCTGCACCAGCATCTTACCCCCAAAGCCTCTTTCACCCTCATTTTCTGCAGTGTATTCAACGTTGACACCCCAGCACATCTACAAAATACGTTTCTTGCGGTTTCTTTGGTCGCAGCACCATGCAGCACCCTCATGTCAGCATATGTCAGCTTTTTCCGCAGAAGTCCGCGCACTGGCAAATGCAGAAACGCCTGCAGGCACCAGCAAAGGACGCTAGCAATCTAGGCACGTTCGCACGGCGTTCGAGGCCAGCTTCTCGTGCAGCTTGAGATCCTAGAACTAGCACTCGTCGGCTGAGTTGTGGATGTCGAAGAAGTGCTTGTGGAGACAAGGCAAGCCTGACAATTCCAGTCATTATGGAGGTTCCTTGATGGCTGCTTTAATTCATTCTGCTTCCATCCATGTCCATGATGTGCAACTTAAGATATGGTGCATCAAGTTGCGTAAGGATGCATCCGATACGATACGTCTCCGCAAAAAAGAACAATATAATATAGATAATATATATATATAGGAACAGTTTATAGAAACCAAATCATGCGAAAGCTTCTTCAAGAAACTCTCTGCACTCAGGCGGAGGTAACTTGCTTAAGCTACGAGTCTACTTGTAGCTACTGTTACTGCTACTAGTTTCTTAGCGGCCTACCCGCCCCCTCAAAAAGAGAAAAGTCGGTAGCCAACGTCCAAGGCAGGCCTTGGTTGAAGTTGAGGATCTGAACGCAAGGTTTGCCATAATCCACGGCAAGTTGTGAGGTCCTCTTCGATTGGCTTGTCTGGTGTGCCTACAAAGCAATCGCTAGAAATGCTAGAATCAGCTGGACGAGAAGCATCTAAAATTTGAAATCAACAAAAAGGCACACGCAAGATCATGTAGGCCTGCAAACCAAACTGGCGGACACCCCCTAAACCTTTTGGAGCATGAAGGTCCCGACCTGAGAACAGCGCCTTGCAAAGCAATCGAAGCAATTCAGGATCCAGGCCAATTACAAAGGGATTTGGTGGAATCAACGTCGCGACAAAGAGAGGCGGAGGCTCCTTCAACGGCAAGACTTCGGATCCCCAGTGTAAGCGCAGTTCGCCCCTGAGAGCTTGTGAACATTTGCTGGTGTGTTGTAGCAAGAGGGCCACTGGCAATTCAAACCAGCCGGTCTTCATTTCAACCATTGCTATCACACCAGGCTTGGCAAGAATCACCACATCCACTTCGCCGTGAAGACGTTGCTTGGCATCACGCCATTCACACCCACGCAGAAGTTTAAGTTCTCCATCTCGACAGTCTCCACCCATTTGGCGGATCGAATGGATGGCCAAAGTGGCTGCCAAGCGGGCATCGGTCGATTCAAAGGTTCCTCCGTGTGTGCGCCGATCGTCTCCTTGCGCTCGATCCAATCTTTCGTATTCATCCCAAAGGCTTTGACCACCCAGCTCCCAAAGCTTCCTGATTCGCATCCATCGCACCTGTGCAAGGTCAACAATGATAGGAGAAACACAGAGAGCCTGAAAATCAGTAATTATATATATACTGTAACTAGAAGCTACTAGTCACAAGGTGCATTGCTACTAGTGGCAAGGACGCTACTAGTAGCAAGGCGCCTTATCACTGGCAAGAAGCTACTAGTAGCAAGGACGACGCCATTGGACTTCCGAGCACGTAGCGACGTATTTCAACATTAGAGGGTCACTCGGTCACCTGAGTCACATGCCACATCCATCCACGTCCACCAGGCCAAATAAGGCAGGCATGTTGGCTGTGGGTTCTGTGGCAAACCCTTTTGGGGGTACAGGGAAATGCATATATCCGCCAACCCTGGCCTAGGTCTAGAATGTGCCTATGCTGGGCAGCGCCTGGGACACTTGAAGGTTGCGTTTTGGGGTGCTTGTGGGCTCAGCTGCTTCTGTTGCTGGTCCCAGTGCAGTTGCTTGAGCCTCCTGTTGCGCAACAGTTTTGGGAGCGGGCCCTCGCGACGCATCGTTGCTGCTTGGCTTCAACCTCTGTTTCAGCGGGTGTCGAAGCTATCGTCTGGCATGCTTGCAGTCGCTGATCAAAGGTATTTTGTGCGCAGAATTAGAGGGGACAAGGCTGCGGCGTTCAGAAGCACTTTTGCTCCCGTTCGCCGAACCTTCAGGGCGGGAGGGCAAAGGTTCTGGATCTTCCCCTGCAAGATTAAATTTGGTTTCGAGATGTTTGAGGTTCTGTGTGGTCTTGTAGACACCATCATACGAAACCACAAGGAAGCTTGTCTCTGCCATTGAAGAAATTCAAATACTCCAACGCAGCGATTTGTTTTTTCCACTGACACAGCATTTGGCCTGCTCATGGGTAGGTAGTCGCTCCAAGGATGGTGAGTTGTTATGGAAGGCAAAAGAGTGGCGCGCAAAAGCGTGTCAAGCATGTCGCGCAAGAGTGTTCCAGAAGGTTGCCCGGGTTGCTGTTAGTGAGTCCTCTGCTTCAGCCTTTTCAGCCATTTCTCAGCCTGAATTCCGATGCCATGCAAAATGCACTCTTCTTGCCTCGACAATCGGAATAGTGCCAGCGTTCTTGCAGGGTCGGTGGCGCAATCCAGTGAAACCTCGTTGATGATTGCACTGAACAAGGTTTGTTCTGTTCCTCCCTGAACATCCTCTGGCGGGGTCTTGCCTTTGGCGCGCCGTTTTCGGACAACTCATTGAAGGCCCTCAGCCCTACCACAGGGTTTGGAGTCCTTCGAAGGGATTGTCAGGGCAGTAGTAGTGGTGCCAAAAGATAGAGGCTGAACTTCGCATTCATCTTTGTAATGTTCTTGCTCCCTCCTCTTGCCCTGGCTTTACCACAAGAACGCTGCACAAGGACAAAGACCACGAAAAGATGGAGAGCAAACAGAAGCACATACAGGAAGTTTGCATGTTTGTGTGGTGTTGATCTTGAGCCTTCCTCTTAATGTGGCTTACCATCAAGGCGCTGCGCAAGACCAAGGAGAACAAAACTAATCAGAAGAAGAAGAAGAAGAAACACCAAAAAATACAGAACCTGAACTTTGCATTCTCATCCTCTCCTTTCGCTTCTTCCTTCCTTTTCCTCCTTCCTGCCTGCTGGCCGTCTGTTGGGCATAGGCTCTGTGCAGGCACTGAGGTGAACTAAAGAACAGCCATGTCATTGGCCTAGTCCCGTCCAATCATTGGCCTTTGCCGCACCACTATCTCCCACCTGCTGTGGATCTGTTTGCAGATCTTCCCACAGTTGAGCTGCTCTCTCTTCATGCTGGATCCGACGAAGCTCTTCTGCACGCTGCAACTCCGAGATCTGTTGAACAAGCTCGTCTTCGCTTGGCGTTGGAAATCCTTCGAGGTACAATCAGAATAGTTCTACCACATCAGCTGCTTCAGGCACGCCCACCTATGATCCAGACCCCCTGTAAGTGACCCACATCTCCCATAATGCAATCGTGAATACACAGAAAAACAACAATTATATCATTATGCTCACCTCACCTCACGCAAGAAAACACAAAAACATACAAAAAGTTTATAAATATGGTGAGTGTGGTCCTTTTGCGATTGCTTTCTTGGTCAGGCCATCCCGGATCTTTTTCTGGTTCAATTCGATTTGGCAATGCTTTTTCGAAGCCGCTGAGGCAGCTTGCCACTGAGAAAACAAAGGACTTGGTTTCACACAGGCCACGGCTTCTGCTACCAAAAGAGCAGGTGTGTCTTTCTTTAGCTGCAACTCGGCATAGAGCTCTGCCATGGGAAAGGACTCTGCCGCTTCCTGGAACTTCCGAGATATTGTATCCAAAGCTCGACTCCGCGGTGATGTCTTCAAAGTCTGTCGAATGTGCCGCAGGAGTAGCTGAAAAGATTCAATCTGGTATTCAGAGCTTAAAACTTGCTCATCGTCGTACAGACCACTCTTGGGGTATCTTTGAAGGCAATGCCAAAGGTGCTCTCTTAACTCATGTTGCTTCTCGAGCCAATCCTGTCCTGTGCTAAAATCGGCTTCAGTGAGCGTCCCATCATCTCTCATGCTAGCTGACTCCCCCAAGTGCATATCAATTCGAGCCAAAGCCAAACTGTCATCACATTCAGGACTGATGTGCATTTCGCGACTATAGGAGTTGGTATTTGGTGTAGTTTTTGAAGACCATGGTAACACACCACCAGGCAATGTCGCGAGCGAGGGACTCCCAGATTGGGATGACACAAGGGAAGGCAATTAGGTAACTTCTGAAAAATCAAGCAAGCCTTAGCCTTAACCCCCTTGCCAAAGCAAGAGCAGCAGCTAGCTGAAAATAGGTTGCGTTAATCTCATATTGGAGGTCATGAGAACTCCTACAAGTATGCAGGGAGGTTCATGAGCAGGCACCCATTTGCGGGCCTACGACGAAATGATTCAGCCAAAACTTGAATAGAAAGGATACTGTGCGCTGCGGAGAATTGTCCAAGTTCTGATGCATAACCACATTCAATGGCACATCGTACAAGAGAACGAGTTGGACGTTCATACTTTTGCTCTCGGTGCGGTTTGAATCTGCGTCACAACCAACACAACGTTGACAGGTGGCAAACGGACTACAAGAACTGACTACTTGACGCTGGAGCCCCTTCACGAGCGCCATCAAACGGATTTTCCTCAGTATGCTCCGGACATACTAACAGCCTTAAAATCATTGTGTGACTGAATGCCTCGCCCACGACTTGGAGATTCGCATCAATAAGAAGCTAGATGCGATTGAGGCCAGGACGTTTGCCAACTCTAGGTTCTCCTTGTTTACATTGATGATCTTTTGGATCTTCCTGGCATCAGCGTGAGGGTAGGTGCTGGTTTAGCGTTCTAGATCCAAGCAACCAACACTCTGCAGCTTGATCAGCTAAATGCAGCCAAGGATCTCTGGCTCAGAGTGATGCCTGCTCCGTGTTTTGCCAAAACAGCTGCCAACCACCCCCAAAAAAAGAATATACAGTATACAGTATATGAATGTCGGACAATATTACTTATTACCCGCCAAGGACGTCTATAATTTGCG